TTCCTTCCTTCCTTCCTTCCTTCCTTCCTTCCTCTTTCTTTCTTGCTTTCTTTCTTGCTTTCTTCCTTTCTCTCTCTGTCTCTCTCTCTTTTTCTTTCTTTTGTTTAAATATGAATTTCATCATCCCTTCTTTCTCTTTCTTCTCCACCGTCCCTAGGTTGAAACCAAAGGAGAGAATGAAATTGACCCCAACAAGTTACCGGAAGGAGACGAGGAGAGAATCACCGAAAAAGAACAAGATAGTGATGTGTCTCAAGATTCAAAACAAGGTAAAAATGGGAGGGGGGGGGGAAATTGTCAACTAAAATATTTATATGGTTTTTTTAGAGTTGCCAACAGAAAGGGAAGGGGGAGAAATGTGACAGCTTGGAAACTGAAAGTGCATTCTATAAATAGTTTTTCAGAGATTTTATCTAGGTGACTGAAGTTTCTGCCAAGCAAATCTCTCATTGGAGAACATGATTGATGACTCTTGGCTATCGATGTTTCCCATTGGAGAATATGAATTATGATATACCCAGGGGGTGGGGAAGACCCAGGGTCAAGGGTGACAAGGAATTTTTTGCTGTATCACAAACACACACAGGACTTCTCTATTGTTCCAGTGACAGCCTGTAGCAGACGTAGTTCCATTCTACCCCCAACACAGAATGCGGCCGTAAATTTCCTGCCGTTCGTTTCACAAGCCCCTCTTTCTCTCTCTGTGCCGGGAGAGAGTAAATCTTGATTTTGGAAAACCTTGTCTGCTTCACTTTACGGGCGCTTTTCATCTCCCGTCATCGTGGTATATATCTACAGCGGGTCATTAATCCTCAAGGCTAACAGAGTCCAGGCTGAAACGTTAAAAGAGAGTGGGGGGGGTATTTTTGTTTATGGCGGTACAGTCCGGATCTGAAAGAACAAATGGGCAAACCCAGGAAGATTTTGGAGGGTAACTTGCCCTGCTCTGGACTTATGACCTGCCCTTCACTTACAACGGCTCATTTAATGACCAAAGTTACAACTGCACTTAAAAATCTGAACTTTTTTTCATGCCCAGTGACCACTTTAGCATCCCCCGTGGCCGTGTGATCAAAAATTTAGACAAAGTTGTCAACCAGCTCACATTTACGATGGTTGCCGTGTCCCCAGGGGTCATGTCATCCCCTTTTGCGACCATTAAACGAGCATAAGTTGATGGAGAAGCTTGATCCACTTAACAACGGTCGTGGTTCACCTGATGGCGTTGGAAAGAAAGTTTGTAAAATTGGGGAGGAAACTCACTTAGCGATGTCTCGCTTAGCGATGGAACATTTGGGCCTCAGCTGGGCTTATGGAAATCAAGCGAGGTGTAGGCTGTCCTCGACTTAACGACCACAATTGGGCCCACAAATTTCTATTGCTGAGCCAAACGGTCATTAAAATGAATTTCTCCGCCCCTCCCAAATTTTATGATCTTTCCTGCTACAGTTGGCAAATGAACAATTCACTCTGAAACACGGTCATTAAGTGAATCTGGCTCCCCCCCCCTACGAATTGTTTCAGTCAGAAGGTCGCAAAAGGAGGGGGACGGTCCCATGACCCGGGGATGTTCCAAACTGTTGTAATTACGAGCCAGTTGCCAAGGGGAGCCTGCAACCATCGTCAGTATGACAGGCAGATCCAAAGCCCCTTTTTTTCAACACCTTCAAACGGTCACTAAATGGACTGTTGGTAAGTCGAGGACTACCTGTCTAGAGAGGCTCTAGCAGAGCAGGTTCTCTTGCTGGTCAGACTCGGGTAAACTTCACAAATTTCAGCAAAGGCTTCTCTGCCCAGTTGGTGGGTGGGCTGGCCATGGTGGGCATGGCCTTGTTGGTGGTGGGGAATTTTTCTCCCTCCCTGGGCTCCGGAGGCTTTCCTCTATCCTCCGGGAGGGTGAAAGCGGCTTCCCTGGGCCCCAGCACCTGGAAAAGGGCCCATTTCCATCCTTTTGGAGCCTCAGGGCAGTCTGTTTTTTGCCCTCCCCAAGCGCCTGCGAGGGTCCTGTACTTACCCGGCCTCCACAACGGGCCACGTGGGGACTCCGGAAGGGGCAGGGTGGGATTTACCGGTTCATTGAACCGGTCATTAAAAAGGATTAAAATTCGCTACCGGTTCGCCTGAACCAGGGCAAAGAGATAGCAGTCCAGCCCCTGGTCATAGCGGGACGAGGCTGGTTTTTCTTCGGCCACAACTCAACTCTCAGACTGGGAAGGAAAGGAAAGCTGGAAAGAAAAGGAGGTGGCCAGAATCTAACCCGGGGTTCCTTTTGGTCAGACGACAAGGACGCCGACGAGGCCGACAAGGAGAACTTCGATGGCGGCAAAGAGAAGGACGGCGGTGGGGGCGGGAAGCGCCGTGTCGAGCCCGAACTCTCCGAAGGGAACGTCGCTACAGCCGCAGCTGCCGCTTTGGCGTCGGCTGCCACCAAAGCCAAGGTTGGTCCTGGAGACGACTTCTCCGCGCGGCCCTCTGGATTTCCGCTGCTTTGTCTTCAGCGACGTGCCCAGGATTACTTTTCGTTGCGTTGTGTGTTGTTTTTGTTCCCCCCTCTTCCTGTTTCTTCCATGCTTTCCCAATGCCCTGTTTGTGCGCCTCAGCCGCCTTCAGCTGGTGCGAAGGGGAATGTGTGTCCGCTATTGTCGGCCTTGCCGGCAATTTTGGCAACACTGCTCCGTTAACGGCCTCGGTGGGTTGATGCCTTTTGGCATGATTAAAAGAACCTCGCAGGGGTTAGTGTGTGTGTGTGTGTGTGTGTGTGTGTGTGTGTAGGGAGACTAACCCATTCTAGCTCCAAATTACTGGGAGGGAGGGGGTGGTTGTGGGTCTGAAAAGGGCTCATTGTGTAGCCTCCCCCCCCGCCCCCTTCAGGTTGAATGCATGCCGATGAGTCTTTCTGCCCATTTACAAGCCAGTAAGCAGAAAGATCCCCCTTTTCCAAGGATACCCATGCTCCTTTCTCCTCGGGCTCCGCTCTTAGGAATCGTGGTGTGATGACCCAGGGCGTGACACTGAGGCAACACAGTCAAATAATCAGTAGGAGTCCTTTTATTCACGCCAGCTTTGCCCCCAATGTCCTGGTTACCTTCTGGGCTGGAGAAAAAACTCCCAGGAGCAGCCTTTGGGCTACAGAGATTCAAGTCCAAAACAAGGTCAACAAAAACTTAACTACAAGTCCAATCAAGGCAAAATGAGACAGGGCAGGAGCAAGAATTCCAGATGTGAAGGAACGGCAGTAAATCACCTTGGTTAGGAAGACGCCAGGCACGTTTGTTCCCAGCAGACGTCGCTCTCAGCTTGCATCTCTTTTAAACTCCCTTCCCAACTGTGGCTAATGGAGGAAATCGGGGCCCTTTCCTCCCCCGTAAGCCATGCAACGCACATTGCTCTCTTCTCCGTTCCTCCCTGCATGCCCTAGGGGGTAGGCCCGGGTCTTCCCTCTGAACACCCTCTCCCTTGTTCTACCTCTCTCCTGCTCTGCCCAAGTGGGCTTTGCCCTTCCCCAGTTTTCTCCACAGCCAACAGAGCCTCACTCCTGCTCCCTGTCAGCTGTTCGTCTGCCTCCTCGTATTCAGTATTCAGACTGCAACGGGCATGACAGGCGGTTGTCCCTTTTACACCCAAACTCTTCCACATGTTCCTTTCTTCCGACAGGGAAAAACAAAGTCCGACCTGAAGAGCATGCTCATTTATGATCAAAGCACCACTGACTCTATCCAAGTGAAATTTCCTTTGGGGGTTTGCATCCCGGGGCAAACCCAGCTTCCAAAAAAAAAAAAAAACAGGCTTTCCCCATGCAGTAGTTCTTGACTTAGTGACCACGATAGAGCCCCAGAGTTCTCTTCCTAAATGAGACTGTTGTTAAAGTGAATTTTGCCCCATTTCCCAATCTTTCTTCCCCCCAGTTGTTCCCTTGCAGACATTTTATGACCCTCCTAGGTGACATCATAAGGAGTAGAAGGGACTGTATATAAACAGAGAGCCAACCCTACACTCTTTCTAGTACTGATGATGTTACCTAGTTGGGATATGAAAGGTTTGCAAGAAGACAGTAGCCCACAGAACACCAAGGATCTTTCCTCCTCTTGTTTCTTTCTTTTTTTCTTTCTATTCCTTCCCTCCATCCTTCCCTGCTCCCTTCTTTCCTTTCTTCCTCCTGTCTTTCTCCTTCCTTGTTTCCTTCCTCCTCCCTTTCTTTCCTTTTTTCTTCCTTTCTTCCTCTTTTTCCTTCCTTCCTTCTCTTTGTTCCTTCCCACCTGCTCCTTTCCTTCCCTCCTCTTTCTCTTTCCTTTCTTCCCTTCTTCCTTTTCTACTCTTCTTCCTTTCTTTTCTTTTTTCTTCCTTCTCTCCATTTTTCCATCCTTCCCTCCACTTTCCTTTTTTCCTTCCTTATTTATTTCTTCCTCCCCTCCTCTCTTCCTTACTTTCTCTTCCTTCCTTTCTGTTTCATTCCATCCTTCTTTTTCTTTCTTTGTTCCCTTCCTCTCTGCTTCCTTCATTCTTCGTTCCCTCCTCTTCCTTTCTCTTTCACTCCCTTTCTTTTCTCTCTCTCTTTCTTCCCTTTCTTGTCTCCTTTCCTTCCTCATTGCTCCTTGGTTGTTAAGTTGAATCACCGTGTTTACTAGGTTAGTCACACGGTTGTTACATGATTCTTGCTTCCTCTTTGGCTTCGTTTGCCAAAGGGAAATCATCTGACTTCTGGGGGAACACCGCCACCGTCATAAATCTGAGACAGGTGCCAAGCAGCTGAGTTTTGAGGCAGCAGCGTTTGCAACTGTGAAAACCATTGTAAGTCGCTTTTTTCAGGGCTGTTTGTAACTGTGAATGGTTGTAAGTCAAGGACTACCCATAATGCAGATACCCTATTTCCTCAAAAATAGGACCTACCCTGAAAGTAAGTCCTAGGTTGATTTTTAGATGTGCACCCAATATAAGCCTTATTTCCCCCGCTCCCCCCAAAAAAGAATAAGCCGTAATTACTATCCTGCCAGGGTGGACGGGTAAAAATTAAGCTGGGATGGGGATGGGATGGAGCTGCCCTACTACTTACCTTTGGACAGGTGTAGACAGGTCTCGCACACCCCAACACCTGCCTTGCTGGCCCTTTTCTTCAGCAACCGGCAAGGCTTTCCTGAAGGCCCCTGGAGCTGATAACAAATCTCTTAACTCTTAAAAAAGTCTTAACAATCCATCTCCTATTTGCTTTCTCTGAAAATTCAGTTAAGTCCTTGACTGAGGACCATAATTCAGCCCCAAAATTTCTCCTGCTAAGCGAGACATGTGTTGAGGTTTGACGATCGTCTTTGCCAGAATTGTTAAAAGCGAATCGCTGCAGTTGTTAAGTTAGCAACACGGCTGTAAAGTCAAATCTGGCTCCTCCCCTCATTGACTTTGCTTGTGAGAAGGTTGTAAGAAGGGATCCCAGGACTGTCAGAAAGTTTCTCCTTATTTCCAGGTTGAATCTCTCCTTGTTCAGTTTCCATCCATTATTCCTTGTCTGGCCTTTGGGTGCCTTGGGAATTAGCTTGACCCTCCTCCTCTCTCTGTGACAGCCCCTCAAATATTGGAACATATTATGTCTCCCCTGGTCCTTCTCTTCCCTAGACTAGCCATGCCCGGTTCCTGTAACTGTTCTTCATATCTTTTAGTCTCCAGTCCCCTCATCCTCCTGGTTGTTCTTCTCTGCACTTTTTCTTGAGTCTCAACCTCTTTTCTATAATGTGGAGACCAAAACTGGATGCAGTACTCTAGGTGTAGTCTTACTAGGGCTTTATAGAGTGGTATTAGTACCTCATTTGATCTTGATTGTATCCTTCTGTTAATGCAACAGGATTGCATTAGCTTTTTTTGGCTGCTGCTGCACAGGGCTGGCTCACTTTGAACAGTCACTAAACTGTTGTAAGGTGCTAATTCCTTTTGTACGCTTTGCTTCTATATCTGGGATCCAAGCAGGGATGGGATTCAGCTGGTATGGACCAGTTCGGGCAAACGGGTTGTTAGTAACCGGTAGCTCATGCTCACCGAACCGGTTGTTACACCGGCTGAATCCCACAACTGGATCCAAGATGATCCAGGTTTACCCCAATAAACTCCGTCACACCAGTGCAACGTCCTTCCCAATCACACCCTGGTTGGGGAAACCATCTCACGCAATCTTTTCCCCAGACATTACCTTCCAAAGTCCCCATTTTGGGGGAATCATTCTAATAAACGAAATCATTTCCCCATTGGCAATCTCGTATGTCCCTTTGTGGTCGCCAGGGTCATCTTAAAGCTGCTCGTGGCGTTTTGAGACTTGAATTATTAAGCCGCTTTGAGGTGATTACTTCATCTTGATACTGTCAAGGAAGGATAGAACAGTGCCTTCGCTTACCACCACCACCACCACCACCCCAAAAAATCTCAGCCTTAAATGGTTGCCAGGCGGATCCCACGGCTGTGCGGTCGGTCACCTCAAAATTCAGGCGCCGCACAGCGACCTCGACAAGTTTATCTTTAACCCTTTCCGTCTCATTGGAAGCAAATCCTGCAAGAATTGCAGAAGCCAGGCAGATGCTTAGCAGCACAAAATAAAAAGATAAAGTGTTTTCAAGACCTGCAAGGGGTGGAGGGGGGGTGGGAATACTATCCAGATCAACAACAAAAATAAAACACCCACATTGCTGGTTTGGCCTCCCAATAAACAATGTTCCGTCCTTCCTCAGCATCTGGCCGCCGTCGAGGAACGGAAGATCAAATCTCTGGTGGCTCTCCTGGTGGAAACGCAGATGAAAAAGCTAGAGATCAAACTTCGTCATTTTGAAGAGCTGGAAACAATCATGGACCGAGAGAAAGAGGCGGTAAGATTAAATTCCGGTTTCCATTCATGCGTGTCTCGGAACCTGTTTTTCTGCCAGCTCAAAAGTCTCTCCAGATTTACTTTCTCTACTCTGGATTTATTTATATATCCCACCTTCTCGCTTTTATAACTACCTCTGGGCAGTAAACGTCTCCGATACACAGGTACGACTCGGTTTATGACCATAGTGGAGCCCCGGATTTGTGTTGCTAAGCAAGACGGTGGTCTAGTGAGGTCCACACCATTGCAAGGCCATTCTCGCTGCCGTTGTTAGTAACATGGTTGTAAAGTGAATCTTGGCTTCCCTTCAAAAGATCGCAAAAGGAAATCTCTTGATCCTGGGACACTGCCACCATCGTACATACGAGCCAGTTGCCAACCCTCTGGATTTTAATCATGAGAGCAGGAAGAATTTGCAACGATCATTAAGTGCGAGAAGTGAATGGTGCGGTGGCCTATAGGTCGAGTTCTCGCCTCACCATCGGGGCTGTGAGTTCGATCCTAGGTAGGGGCAGATCTTTCTGGGCACGATGAGAATGTATCTGCTGAACAAAATTCTGCACTGGCGACAGGAAGGGCTTCCGGCCAGGAAACACTCAGCTCCATTCAGTTGCCCAGACTCCACCCAGCAAGGGATTATGGGGTCATTAAAAGAGGAAGATGATTTAAGTGCGAGAAACGGTCCTGGGCCATTCTTTTTCAGTGCCATTATAAGTTTGAAAGGTTGCTAAACAAACAGTTGTAAGTTGAGGGCTGCCGATTCTTCTCCCTCCTCCTATCCCCGCCCCCTAATTTCCAAATTTTCTTGATTTCATTCACACCAACGGTTGTCATCTTATTCATTGGTTTGTTGGTCAGTTTATTTTCCTCACCTTTCTGGTTGTGAGTTTCCTCTGGGAAATTCCTTTGATCCTCCCCGCAAAAATAATAAACCTCATAGAAAAGAAAAAAGATTCGACTTCCAGGCCCCAATTGTTCCCTAGAGCACCATTGCTAAGTTTGTCCTGCCCCATGGATTTCATACTTCTGCCGTAGCCGCGATCTCTCCTCTCTAGGGAGGGGCCCATATTTGTGCGTGCGATCTTAAGAAAAAGAGTGGGGATCTGTCAGCCTTCTCAACAATTGGCATTTCCGCATGTCTGCCCCTTCTCCCCAGCAGCAGCATCGTTGGCAGTGGTCCAAGGTTAGGGAACCCTCCCAAAATAGGGTACAGTGAGAGAGGGTTCCCCCAGGGCTAAGCCCAATCTGCCAAGCCAGACAGGTGGTGCTTTATTGCATGACTTGCCTGTGCGCCAGGCAGAGAAATAGAGACCTATTTTCCACCCACTAAAATGGGGGGGGGAGAACGCTGGTCCCCCACCAGAGAAATTGGGAAGACCCTCCTCCACATGGAGGGCCGGCAGAAACCAAGACCAGCTGCACGCATGCAGATCCAATTAAAGTGATGGATTGTATATGCAGGAATCTTTCAACTAAAGTGATGGATTGCTGGAAAGCCTAGCCAGGGGAGAATCTTCTCTGCAAAAGGCACCTGCTACCCGTGTTTCCCCAAAAATAAGACCCGGTCTCTCTCCCTTCCTCCCCCTATCTATCTATATCTATCTTATATAAACATACATACATACATACAAATATGGTTGACTCATACCTTAACTCCTACCGAGTTTCCCTGAAAATATCACCTACCCCGAAAGTAAGTCCAACTTGATTTTTTTTTTACATGAGCACCCAATATAAGCCCTAATAAAGGCCCCACCCACTCTGGGGTGCAGAGGGTGGGATGAGGCTCACGGGTTAAAAATTAAGCCAGGATGGAGACCCCGACATCTGCTTTGCCTTGCTGGTCCACTACTTCTTTGGCTGCTTGCACGCGCTTCACACACACACACACACACACACACACCCCTCTGGTTCGCTGTCAGAGACCTTCTGGAAAGGCCTCTGCAGCTGAGAGGTGGGCTCCAGATTGATGCGCGCAGCGGCCCCCTTCCAGGAAGTCCTCTCCGCAGCCGATAACCGAGCTCCAGGGGCCTTTTAGGAAGGCCTCTGACAGTGAAACAAGGCCAGGGGGATGCCGCAGGCATCAGTCCAGAGCCCGTTTCTTAGCTGCAGGGACCTTTTCTGAAGACCTCTCACAACAGAACAGAGGCCGGGGGCGACACGCGCAAGTGGCAATAAGTGGACGCAGAAGATGTGGGCCAGCAAGGCAGATGTTGGGGTGTGCAAGGCCTGGTAAGTAGGGCAGCTCCACCACCCCCATCCCCACCCTGGCTTAATTTTTACCTGTGCACTTTGCCCCACCCCCTTCCCCCCACCCCCGGAGCAGGTGGGGGTCTGAATAGAATAGAACAGAACAGAACAGAATTCTTTATTGGCCAAGTTTGATTGGACACTCAAGGAATTTGTCTTGGTGCAAATGCTCTAATTAGGGTTTATTTTGGGGTGTAGGGCTTATATTGGGTGTATGTGTGGGGGGGAAATCAAGCTGGGGCTTATTTTCAGGGTAGATCGTATTTTCAGGGAAATTAGGTAGTAGGAGTTTTAAGCTATGAGTCAACCAAATTCAAGGGAGGCTGGACTTAATTTGCTTGCGACTACGTAAGACTTCTAAGCTGCTGCCTCTTTTCACGACGATGCCCCCACCCCACGGATTCTGTCCAGCTTCTCCTACAGACACCGACGTTCGTCCCATTCATGTACTAATTCTTTCCCCAGTTGGGGCCGGCGAATGAATCTGTGCCATGTCATGGACCCTCCACGTAATCTCTTTCTCTGGGCACCCCGGATTCAATTCGTGCCGTCCCTCCGGACACACCGCAATCAATACCCCTACTCCTTCTGGATATCCTGTGGTTGGAAAATGGGGGTTGTTCTAGGCAGCTCTTGGCAAATTCATCGTCCCTTTGGGTTCCCCTTAGTCAATCCATGGAATCCATCTAGTCACTCCAAAGTCAATCCTTGGAGTTCCTCAAGACACCCCATGGTCTCTCCTTGGGAGTCTCTCCTAACGCTCCATGTGTTCTGACCTAAACTTCCCAAGATCATGAAGCCGACTCCTCGTCTCAATAAAACCCCTATTATTTAGGTTATAAAGTGAATTCCAAAGTCCCAGACAACAGTCTTCCATGAGATTTCACAACTACGGGCCTTTATCAGACTTTGGAGAGTTGCCAGGCCGATAGCTTCCAAACGCCACGCTGTAGCAGCAATTACTTGGCAAGAAGTTAGGAACAGATCTTCACCCGAACGAAGTGAACTAATTCTCCCCTGCAAACCCCTTTTGCTCCTCTTTCTTCCCTCTGGGAGGGGCCATTCACCATCCACCTGCGGCTTTACTCCCGAGTCGACCCTTGTTCCTTAACTGTTCCCTTCTCCTGGCAGCTCTGCGCATACGCACACTGGGAACAGGCTCCAGCTGTTCTTCTTCCCCATTCATCTGACTCAGAAGGCAGCTGATAACTGTCAGAGGGCCTTGACCCCATATCTGCCCCTGATGCAGAGCCCTCCCCAGACTCCAGGACTGGCCCATGTTCCTCCCCCAACCTCCTCACTGTCCGAGTCATCCACTGTCCCGCTGGTGGACCACAACACCACGGTCCATCCCTGAAGTCCTTCCACCCCACCCCACCCATCAGTCGGCGGAGTCACGCTCCATTCAACCATTCTTGTCTCTCGGCATCTGACCTGCCACAATAACCCAGACCCTTCCCCCCCCCCCCAAGTTTTTTTTTCCCCCCCCCCCCGGTCCCGGCCCCCCCCCCCCCCCCGGGGGGGGGGGGGGGGGGGTTCAGGGTTGTTCTCTTCCTGGCCCTTGGTTCCCCGGGGGGGGGGGGAGTCGAAGCCCCTGCCGTTTCCCCCTGCAGGCAAACCACACAGAAGGGGGCCTATCCCCCTTCCCCACTTTGTGTGAACCCCTGGCACATTCTTCCGCTCTTTATTATCTCCGCCCGCCCGGGTTTTCCCGATTTCCTTTCCCAGAATAGCTTTTGTGTGACTCCCCCCCCCCCCCCCCCCCACCCTCCGCTGATTGGCAGATAAGGAACGGGGAGCCGGTTGCTAGGGGGCGAAGGCAGCTTCTCCATTGATTCTCTTTCTCCCCCCCCCCCCCACCCCTTTAAGAAAATTACTCTTGCGGTAAGCAGCTCTTCTCGCCGCATGGATTCCCGGCTTTCCAAAAAAAAAAAAAAAAGGAGAGGGGGAGGGAGAAATAAAAAACAAACACCTCAATTTTCCTTGCAAAATAAACCTTTCCTGTTGCAAAAAAAAACGTCGTCGTTTTTGCTATTCTCCTCGGGTCGGGAAGCGTTCCAGTCGACATCAAATTGGCCTTTTTTCCATCTCTGCAAAAGGAGCAGAGATGAAATTTTGTACATAACCGATTCAGCGTAACGGTTTTTTTTTAGCCCAGGAGAGATCGAAGTTCAGGGTTGTGTTTAAAAAGGAAAAAAAAACCTCGCCCAAGAGGTGTTGGGCTGCATTACTGCAGAACCGATGATGGCCCCTGTGGCGGCTGGGCTGCTTTTAATTTCCCCGCGTTATTTATTTATTTATTTTGCGCCGCTGTGCTCCGTGAATACTTCGCTCGCTCGCCCGCACACGCAAAAGCAACACGCCCCGTTCTACAGCGGGGGAGGTGTGAATAGGATTTCCCTCGGCAATGCGCCATCCGAATGGGAAGTTGACAGGTGGAGGAATTCCATTGGTCCTCGTTTCAGAGACGGACGATTCGATCTTTTTTTTATTATTATTATTATTATTACTATTTTTCTCAAGAGGCACGATCAGAATTTAGGAACCCGTTGGG